TTTACAAATGTCTACTTCTCACTCGGCGCCCAAATATTTTAGAACTATTCGGTCAAATCTTGACGACAGTTCATTTGAATTATTTTGCTATCGAATTAAATTAACAAAGAAACTATGTAATTGGCACAATCATCGTGTTTGTCTGGAACAAACTGCACATCCTAAATCCGTAGCTGTCGAGTCACCTGACAACCCCAGTAGGTCGAATAAAGCAGCTCAATATTCAGAAAGAAGACAATGCAATAAGTTCGACAGGGTGCTTAAACTAAACTCTAATCCTAAACACCATAATTTTGAAAATACGTCTAATCATAAAATTCTACATACTAGCAGTTTGAACGGACATGATGGTTTGATGTTAGCTGATGCATAGGAAATCCTGATTAATAAATAAAAATGGATATGTATCACTAATTAATAATACTTGGTCAAATTCCTGACTGTCTATATCTTCCTATGGAGACGTTAAGAAATGTTTTACGACTGTTTACACACACACGCATGCACACTCTGTTTAAAGTATTTAACAAAGGTAGACCAATATTTGTAAGCCCGAGGTCAAATTTTGATCACAGCTCATACAATTTTGTTTCTTATACTTGTTAATACTTGTGTTTATGAATCATGATTGGACAAAGTTTTTAAAAAGATGTGCCTTTTATATATAAAACCTCTGTTATGTTGATTTTGATTAATTTCCCTGAAGAAGTTCGGACCAGATTGCCGAACGAAACGTTGGAATTACTTATTTCAATATCGCTGAGATTTTACAAATATAATTTTTTACAAATGTCTACTTCTCACTCGGCGCCCAAATATTTTAGAACTATTCGGTCAAATCTTGACGACAGTTCATTTGAATTATTTTGCTATCGAATTAAATTAACAAAGAAACTATGTAATTGGCACAATCATCGTGTTTGTCTGGAACAAACTGCACATCCTAAATCCGTAGCTGTCGAGTCACCTGACAACCCCAGTAGGTCGAATAAAGCAGCTCAATATTCAGAAAGAAGACAATGCAATAAGTTCGACAGGGTGCTTAAACTAAACTCTAATCCTAAACACCATAATTTTGAAAATACGTCTAATCATAAAATTCTACATACTAGCAGTTTGAACGGACATGATGGTTTGATGTTAGCTGATGCATAGGAAATCCTGATTAATAAATAAAAATGGATATGTATCACTAATTAATAATACTTGGTCAAATTCCTGACTGTCTATATCTTCCTATGGAGACGTTAAGAAATGTTTTACGACTGTTTACACACACACGCATGCACACTCTGTTTAAAGTATTTAACAAAGGTAGACCAATATTTGTAAGCCCGAGGTCAAATTTTGATCACAGCTCATACAATTTTGTTTCTTATACTTGTTAATACTTGTGTTTATGAATCATGATTGGACAAAGTTTTTAAAAAGATGTGCCTTTTATATATAAAACCTCTGTTATGTTGATTTTGATTAATTTCCCTGAAGAAGTTCGGACCAGATTGCCGAACGAAACGTTGGAATTACTTATTTCAATATCGCTGAGATTTTACAAATATAATTTTTTTACAAATGTCTACTTCTCACTCGGCGCCCAAATATTTTAGAACTATTCGGTCAAATCTTGACGACAGTTCATTTGAATTATTTTGCTATCGAATTAAATTAACAAAGAAACTATGTAATTGGCACAATCATCGTGTTTGTCTGGAACAAACTGCACATCCTAAATCCGTAGCTGTCGAGTCACCTGACAACCCCAGTAGGTCGAATAAAGCAGCTCAATATTCAGAAAGAAGACAATGCAATAAGTTCGACAGGGTGCTTAAACTAAACTCTAATCCTAAACACCATAATTTTGAAAATACGTCTAATCATAAAATTCTACATACTAGCAGTTTGAACGGACATGATGGTTTGATGTTAGCTGATGCATAGGAAATCCTGATTAATAAATAAAAATGGATATGTATCACTAATTAATAATACTTGGTCAAATTCCTGACTGTCTATATCTTCCTATGGAGACGTTAAGAAATGTTTTACGACTGTTTACACACACACGCATGCACACTCTGTTTAAAGTATTTAACAAAGGTAGACCAATATTTGTAAGCCCGAGGTCAAATTTTGATCACAGCTCATACAATTTTGTTTCTTATACTTGTTAATACTTGTGTTTATGAATCATGATTGGACAAAGTTTTTAAAAAGATGTGCCTTTTATATATAAAACCTCTGTTATGTTGATTTTGATTAATTTCCCTGAAGAAGTTCGGACCAGATTGCCGAACGAAACGTTGGAATTACTTATTTCAATATCGCTGAGATTTTACAAATATAATTTTTTACAAATGTCTACTTCTCACTCGGCGCCCAAATATTTTAGAACTATTCGGTCAAATCTTGACGACAGTTCATTTGAATTATTTTGCTATCGAATTAAATTAACAAAGAAACTATGTAATTGGCACAATCATCGTGTTTGTCTGGAACAAACTGCACATCCTAAATCCGTAGCTGTCGAGTCACCTGACAACCCCAGTAGGTCGAATAAAGCAGCTCAATATTCAGAAAGAAGACAATGCAATAAGTTCGACAGGGTGCTTAAACTAAACTCTAATCCTAAACACCATAATTTTGAAAATACGTCTAATCATAAAATTCTACATACTAGCAGTTTGAACGGACATGATGGTTTGATGTTAGCTGATGCATAGGAAATCCTGATTAATAAATAAAAATGGATATGTATCACTAATTAATAATACTTGGTCAAATTCCTGACTGTCTATATCTTCCTATGGAGACGTTAAGAAATGTTTTACGACTGTTTACACACACACGCATGCACACTCTGTTTAAAGTATTTAACAAAGGTAGACCAATATTTGTAAGCCCGAGGTCAAATTTTGATCACAGCTCATACAATTTTGTTTCTTATACTTGTTAATACTTGTGTTTATGAATCATGATTGGACAAAGTTTTTAAAAAGATGTGCCTTTTATATATAAAACCTCTGTTATGTTGATTTTGATTAATTTCCCTGAAGAAGTTCGGACCAGATTGCCGAACGAAACGTTGGAATTACTTATTTCAATATCGCTGAGATTTTACAAATATAATTTTTTACAAATGTCTACTTCTCACTCGGCGCCCAAATATTTTAGAACTATTCGGTCAAATCTTGACGACAGTTCATTTGAATTATTTTGCTATCGAATTAAATTAACAAAGAAACTATGTAATTGGCACAATCATCGTGTTTGTCTGGAACAAACTGCACATCCTAAATCCGTAGCTGTCGAGTCACCTGACAACCCCAGTAGGTCGAATAAAGCAGCTCAATATTCAGAAAGAAGACAATGCAATAAGTTCGACAGGGTGCTTAAACTAAACTCTAATCCTAAACACCATAATTTTGAAAATACGTCTAATCATAAAATTCTACATACTAGCAGTTTGAACGGACATGATGGTTTGATGTTAGCTGATGCATAGGAAATCCTGATTAATAAATAAAAATGGATATGTATCACTAATTAATAATACTTGGTCAAATTCCTGACTGTCTATATCTTCCTATGGAGACGTTAAGAAATGTTTTACGACTGTTTACACACACACGCATGCACACTCTGTTTAAAGTATTTAACAAAGGTAGACCAATATTTGTAAGCCCGAGGTCAAATTTTGATCACAGCTCATACAATTTTGTTTCTTATACTTGTTAATACTTGTGTTTATGAATCATGATTGGACAAAGTTTTTAAAAAGATGTGCCTTTTATATATAAAACCTCTGTTATGTTGATTTTGATTAATTTCCCTGAAGAAGTTCGGACCAGATTGCCGAACGAAACGTTGGAATTACTTATTTCAATATCGCTGAGATTTTACAAATATAATTTTTTACAAATGTCTACTTCTCACTCGGCGCCCAAATATTTTAGAACTATTCGGTCAAATCTTGACGACAGTTCATTTGAATTATTTTGCTATCGAATTAAATTAACAAAGAAACTATGTAATTGGCACAATCATCGTGTTTGTCTGGAACAAACTGCACATCCTAAATCCGTAGCTGTCGAGTCACCTGACAACCCCAGTAGGTCGAATAAAGCAGCTCAATATTCAGAAAGAAGACAATGCAATAAGTTCGACAGGGTGCTTAAACTAAACTCTAATCCTAAACACCATAATTTTGAAAATACGTCTAATCATAAAATTCTACATACTAGCAGTTTGAACGGACATGATGGTTTGATGTTAGCTGATGCATAGGAAATCCTGATTAATAAATAAAAATGGATATGTATCACTAATTAATAATACTTGGTCAAATTCCTGACTGTCTATATCTTCCTATGGAGACGTTAAGAAATGTTTTACGACTGTTTACACACACACGCATGCACACTCTGTTTAAAGTATTTAACAAAGGTAGACCAATATTTGTAAGCCCGAGGTCAAATTTTGATCACAGCTCATACAATTTTGTTTCTTATACTTGTTAATACTTGTGTTTATGAATCATGATTGGACAAAGTTTTTAAAAAGATGTGCCTTTTATATATAAAACCTCTGTTATGTTGATTTTGATTAATTTCCCTGAAGAAGTTCGGACCAGATTGCCGAACGAAACGTTGGAATTACTTATTTCAATATCGCTGAGATTTTACAAATATAATTTTTTACAAATGTCTACTTCTCACTCGGCGCCCAAATATTTTAGAACTATTCGGTCAAATCTTGACGACAGTTCATTTGAATTTGTGGTCTTTATTTCAGGAATTTATTTTTGTAGATGTGCCTTGACGTATGTACGTCTCTCTGTATGTGCATGTCTCAATTTCGAATGGTATTTTATTTTTAACCAATCATAGATGTCGGTGGTAATTTAGACCGTATGTGAACTTAAAAATAAGACGATCGATAGACGGACAGGCTGAAAAGATGGACCTTACGTCTATTGGTTAAAATGGAGGTTTGTGTGTTGACCTTTGTTATATGGTGATATATAATGTTGAATAATATAAGTAGTATTGTATAATCAACCAAAAAAAAAGAATGCGGAATTTTCGTAGAAGTGACAGTGATTGTTTTGTTGTTGTTGTTGTCTTTTTGACAAACATGATGACTGACTAATCATTTTTAATTATTATTCTTTTCATCTAGTTATCATCACAGTTGATAAGGACATTCATAAATGGAATTATGTTAACATCGAGTTGTACTCATGGGAACTTTTTATCAATTTTATTATTTGTAGTATTGATGATAAAGTTATATGGAATTATTTCAATTGACGCTGAAATTCAAATACAACAACGCGTTTATGCATCAAATTATAATAATAATAGTGGAAATTTTTCCCATCCCCATGTTGACAATCAAAATCGCAATTTAGCACAGAACACATCATTCCTTTTCGGGGATAAGGCATCACAACCGCCTATTGAACGATGGCATTTTCATATAGAAACGTTAATCACCCTATTCCTTGCCTTGTTTTCATTTGGTGCAAATGCTGGCTTACTGTTTCTGGATAGACGGGCTAAACCGTATGGGACAATGAATAATTCTAGTTTTTCAAATAATTTCATGACAAATACCAATAATAATAGTAATAATAACAATAACATCAGTACTAATAATTTAAGTAATAGTAATAATAATAATAATCCTAGTTTTCCATGCTCAGCGGTTGGTTTCACCTCGAAAAAATGGCATAACAATAATAATAATAAACGTAATTCATCTCGTGGACTTAATCTTTTCATCTATCACCAAGCCACAAATGCACCAACACCTCAAGAAACTCTACGATCCTATTCTTTATCAAGTCCAATCAATAAATATCCTTCATCGATTAGTTTAATCAAATTGAATCATTCCACGGGTATATTTCATCATGGTTCAACACAATATCATACACCACGGAGTCGAAGACAACGTCGATATCTAAGAGGATTACTTGGCCTGTCAATAAGTAATCTTAGTTTATCACTTAGTTTAATTAGTTGGTGTTCTTGTCAACTTATTCTGCATAATATTAGTAATACAAGAAATACAGCAAAAGCATGGTTAACAATTATTGCATTTATTAATTTATGGACAATTGATATTGCCCAGTCATTGGAGACTGGTGCTATCCTATGGATTGCTCTTGAGAGGACATTAGGGATACACTGGCCAAGTGAAACACACGGTATGAATAATACTAATACTAGTACTAATAACAATACAAATAGTACAACAACTCAAAGTTTACCAAGATTTAGTGAAAAATACACTAGAAATGATGTTAAATGGCGTAGAACACAACTAACTGTTCGGATGAAGGTATCATTGACGAGATCACTGAAAAAGATGAAGGACAACCTGAATCAAGCGGTTTTAAATCTTTTCTGTCTAAATCGGTGTCTTTCATCGAATTACTTCTCTTGTTGTACCTCTCTGATGACAAATTCCTCCGCATTGATAGCTAAAAAACGTAATAAGAAGAGATTTTCGTGTTTTATACATATATTTTTATGCTTCCTACCATTGGTGCTATTTCTTATAGCTTCAGTGTATAGTTTAAGTAATATTATTTATCATACTAAGAAGCGTAGATTACATAATCATGCATTTATTGCACTATCTCCGTCTAATTCTGCACCGGATCAATACAGTAATCATAATAATCCTATAAATTTTATCTCTGATATTCAAACTACTTATAATGGCAGCAGTGTAAGTAGTATATACCAGAATGATCAAAATACTACAACCACTACTACTTATAATAATAATAATAATAATTTAACACAACACTTCAATCCACTTGTTATCTATGATTATTTCTATACTTATTATTATAATAGTGTCTTATGGAAACAGCTACCATATTATTCAATGCATATAAAGCATCAAATACACGCGTATTATACAAGTTCTATTATATCCGCATTAGTGATTGGTCAATTTTTGGCTCCGCTGGCAATACTAGTGACAACAAATTTACTGATTTATCAAAAAGTGAGTCATTAATACGTGTTATGTTTACTGTATTATCTCTCTCTTTTTGTTTGTTTTACATTTGCCCATTGTTTAATATGAGACATCAGACAATGTAAGCGAAGAATATTGTCAGATATGTCCAAACCAAGTTCACTTTTAACAGTTTGAAAAACTTTGGGCATCGAGTGTATAATATTCATTATAATAAAGGTTTTCTTGTATTTCCCAATGAATGAATGAAAAGCAAAACGATATCGTTGTTGTGTTTTACTGACGTTTCGCTATTTAACTCTGTTGCTAATAGCTTTATCAAAGTATTATTAGACCGGAATTTACAAAATCCACTCAGCTTATATTTAACAAAGAGTTAAGGGGTGAGAAAATAGACAAGTTAGGTCAAGTTAAAGGGACATATTGAAAGTCAAAATAACAATGAAGATGACTAAACCAAATAACAAAGGTAATAGTACATCTACACTGGATGGTATCGAAACAAAGTTTACTAACTTGATCATCGTTCGTCAGTCTGGGGTCATTTTTCGTTGTCAAGTTGGTCAATTGGTAAAGATAACAAAACCAGGTGTAGATTGTTGGATGTGATCAGTGTGTAAAATTATAAAAGCAGTGTGTGTGTTTACATAGTGAACTTGCATATCACATTCATGTTGATTTTGTCACTTCGTGGTAGAGGGGAGGGAGGTGTTGTAACCAGGTCAGATTCTGTTTTAGTCCATCATTCCTATTCAACACGAATATGATATGTAAGTTCACTATGTAAGCTCACACTACTTTTATAATTTTACACACTTATCAAATCCAACAATCTACACCTACCTGGTTTTGTTATCTTTACCAATTGACCAACTTGACAACGAAAAAAATGACCCCAGACTGACAAACGATGATCAAGTTAGTGAACTTTGTTTTGATATCATAAAATATGTACTATTACCTTTGTTATTTGGTTTAGTGATTTTCATTGTTATTTTGACTTTCAATATGTCCTTTTTAACTTGACCTAAGTTGTCTATTTTCTCACTTCTGAACTCTTTGTTATATATAAGCTGAGTGGATTTTGTAACTTCCGGTTTAATAATACTTTGATAAAGCTATTAGCAACAGCGATAAATAGTGAAACGTCAGCAAAACACAACAACGATATCGTTTTTTCATTCATTGGGAAATACAAAAACTTTCATTATAATGAAGAATATTATTGTTTTCAATTAGATCTTCTTCTGGCTTCTTTACTCTAATTTACATAGATTTATGTATATATGTGAAGAAAGAGTTTAACCAATGACGGTTAGTTTGTGGATCAAATTATAATAATATTGCATAATCAGTGTTAAGTGTTATGAACGTCAGTACTAACGATGATTATTATTTCGAGTTCGACTACGGATTGATATCAGTTAGAAAACCACTGAAAACCAGCATTCGAGTACTGGTAGACAGCTGTTTCCTCAGCCTAGTTTGGGAATCATTGGCAGTATGCAACCGACCCACTGGCAGGGTTAGAACCCACGACCTTCCGGTTACAAGGCAAGCTAGCTCGTATACCTGGCCATTGAGAGTGGAAGATATGAAAAGATTAGCTGTCTTTGATCATAGGTGGCTGCGTTCTATCTCCTGTGTGAAGTGATATAATATGGTGAGCAATATTGAGATTAGGCGTCGAGTGCCAGGTAAGGAGGGGAAATCAATCGACGAGGCTGTGAAATTACATCGACTGAGATGGTTAGGACATGTGTTACGTATGCCTAGTCATTGCCTTCCTCGACGGGCAATGTTAGCTGATATAGGGTCAGGTTGGTAAAGAGCTAGCGGCGGTCAAGCCGAAACGTGGCAGTAGTCAATGAAATCCACAACAGTTAGTTTAAGCCACGTAGGAAGGTGTAGACTTCCTGGTTGGGATCCTCGGGACGGTAGAAACCAGTGATTGGAAACAATTGTTGATATGGCTAAAAATCGTTCTCAATGGCTGGTGCAAATGCATCCACTCCTTGTGACTTATAACGCCCAGTCAAAATATATTGTTCTTCCTTATTACTATTCCTTTTGTCTCATATCCCTGTCTACTCTACTCTACTCTATTTTACATTCCTTTTTACTTTCTTCTCTTGCTTTGTGTGCTACATGGAGTGTGGCGACTCGAACTGCCGCACATCGGTGGAAAGTTCTATGTCGAAAACAGACAGCTCGTATACCATTCAGCCACTGGGATCTGATTCAATGGTCATCCCATGAATTCTTACTTCCAATAATTCGTGTTTTCAGAGCGAAAATTAAATCTTATGCTCGCTAGTGACTTGCTACAGGACGGAGTTTCCTGGAGTCAGTTCTAGTGAGAAGTCGTAACCAGTGAGGTGCATTCAGTAGGGAGTGAAGATAGAGGTCTCACCGACGAAACTGGTTAAGCGAAGCGCTAAATCGCGAACTGGTAGAAGTTAGAATTCATAGGATGGCCAGTGAGGTGTCAGGTTCTAATAGCTGGATGGTCTACTAGCTAGATTGCTTTGTAACTGGAAAGTCCTCGGTTCGACCCCTTGCTGTGAGGTAGTTACGTACTGCCGACGATCCCCAAACTAGGATAAAACAGCTGTCCAGTATTCCCTGGCTGGTTTTCACTGGTTCTCTAACTGATATCAATCCGTAGTCAAACTCGTAGAAAATAATAATAATGTGGTAAGTGTTTTTATTTTTTTTAAATTTTTTTTCCTTCACGTTCCCCAGTGGAACATAGGGCTTCAAGCTAGTGGCTTGAAGTTTCTGTAGCAGTGGTGATTATTTTTACAGGATGGGGTTGCTAGCCTCATGCCCAACCTTTCCTCTTTACCAGCATTATTTCTAGCTCAGCGAGGTAAAGGAGTGCGTCGGCCGGGGATCGAACCCCGGACCATGTGCATGGTCGGCGAGAGTCTTAACCGCTGTACCACCGACGCGGTAAGTGTTTTGAACGTCATCAATAACGATGATGATTATAATAATAACAAAAATAATGATAACAAGGTTTATGCAAGTGGAGATAAGAATAACTTAGGTAGAAATATGTCTATGTGTAGACAAATCAATGAATAAATAAATTAGGTCAATTCTTAAATGTTACATAATGCTAAGGGTGAAGTGGTCAGATAATCAGAGTTTAAATAAATATCATTAAAACACGAAGGAAATGGAAAATAAGAAAGCTTGAGAGGGTTTTTTATAATCAGAATTTACCTAGGCCAAGCAAAAGAGAGACAAAAAGGTATGCATGCAAAGACCCTAGGATTGTTCTCTCAAATTAATTCCCATAGCTTCGGCTATGTAGTTGACAGGCAAGGTTAGAATTCCGTCCGAAAGCTTCAATAGAATGCGTGATGACAGCTATGATCAATCAAATGAGACAAAACAGAACAGAGCTTCTGATAGATTTTACTTGACCTTTTCCAAATCATGACGGGAGATGCTCAGTAATACCTATGTAGAGCTGTGTAGTCGTTTTCCCTATGTAGGTCAGCTTTCTCCTCTTGAGCAGCTAAATTTGTAGATACACACACATAGAAGTGGCACAGCTAGGAATAGCTGGGCAGCTTGTCATTCGCTTGAGCAATCATAGTTGGTTGGCAGCTGGAAAAAGGGAAAAACAAAGGGCGGCTTCAGCTCTAGGTCCGTTCTAGGTAACTTTTAAGATTTGAACTAATTTACTTATTTATTTAATTATTGAATTGTTTACATATACACATATTACTTACTAATTTTGTTATTCTTCCGATCAACGCGTCTGCATCAGCGTTATTAATATCAGTATTTTTGTTATCATTAGAATCATAATCATCATCGTTAGTACTGACGTTCAAAACACTTAACACTGATTATTATTGTTATTATTATAATAATTTGATCCATAAACTCACCATCTCATTGGTTAAATTGTTTCTTTACATAGATACATAAATCTTTCTATGTAAATTAGAGTAAGGAAGCCTGAAGAAGATCTAATTGCAAAAACAACAATATTCTTCGCTTATATTATGTATGTTCTAATGATATATCTATAAAAAACGACAAATAGGTGTTGTTAAACTGAATTTCTGTTTGGAACTGGATAGCTGTTTCATCCCAGTTTGGGAATCATCGGCAGTACGCACACAACCGACTGCCAGCGTTCGAACCCACGACCTTCCGTTTACAAGGCGAGCAAGCTCGTATACCATTCAGCCACCCACTGGGACCCGACACCTCAATGGCCATCCCATAAATTCTAATTTCTTCCAATGCGTGATCCATTTTGCGCGACTGGCACCAACCGATGTCATCGGTGAGAAATCCATCCTCATATCCCGACTGTATGGACCTCATTGTTCACGAATTCTCACTAGAAGTTCCTCCAGGCAACTCCATCCTTTAGCAAGTCACTCACTAGCGAGCATCAGATTAATTTTCTATTGTTGGTTTGCAGGAATTATTTTTATTTTTACGAGTTGATCACGGATTGATATCAGTTAGAGAACCATTGCAAACCAGCACTCGAGTACTCCCAGACAGCTGTTTCATACCAGTTTAGGAATCATCGGAGGTACTCACACCATGGGGTTCGAACCAATGACCTTTCGGTTACAAGGCAATCCAGCTCATATGCCATTCAGCCACTGAGACCCGATGCCTCAATGGTCAACCTATGAATTTCAGCTTCTACCAGTTCGTGGGTTTTGTGCAACCACCAATCAATGTCATCGATGGGATATCCATCCTCACATCCCGACTGGATGGACCTCACTGGTCACGACTTCTCACTAGATGTTACTCCAGGCAACTCCACTCTTTAGCATGTCAGTAGCGAGCATCAGATTAATTTTCAATAGTTGGTTTGTAAGGGTCAGTTTTATTTTTTACGAGTTGATCACGGATTGATATCAGTTAGAGAACCATTGTAAACTAGCCAGGGAGTACTGGAGAACTGTTTCATCCTAGTTTAGGAATCATCATCAGTACGCAGCCAGTCGAATGCTGGGGATCGAACCCACGACTTCTCG